TCTCTTAGATGCATTTGTTATACCGTAGGGTCCTACTTTGCTTTCTGTTGCTGTGATAACTAAGGGAGGAAATTTGGCTCAAATGCCGGATTCCAGTCCATCATGAAAGGAAGTCAAGTTCAGATCCTGGAGACAAGCATGAAAGAAGAGGCTATGGAGGAATTCTGAGTACTGGCTTGCTTCTCATGGCTCCCTCAGCTGGCTTTTTTTTTGTACGACCCAGGTCCACCTGCCTAGGGTTGGCACTGCCCACAGTAGGCTGGTCCTTTCTATTTTCACCAGTAATCAAGAAAACACTCCACAGACTTGCCTACAAGCCAATCTAATGGGGACTTTTTTTTTTTTTTCTGATTGAGATTCTATCTTCCCAGATGATACTAGCTTATATCACGTTTGGCAAAACAAAACAAGACACAACAAAACCAAAACTTAACCAGTACACTTACTTAGTACAAAGTTATATAAATAGCTTTAATATGGATTTGATTGTAAGAATAGATTTATATCATATCCCAACAATGCTAATTATGAGTTATATCACCTTGAATACTTGACCTCCTAGATGTTTGCTGCCATCTTTAAAAATGAGAAAAATAATTTCTACTCTGTAAAAGTGTTAATATTAAATTAAATATTTAAAAATCCCTAAGATGGGGTGGTGTAAGTGAATGGTAGGTAGCTAGTTAGCATGCTGGAGACCTTGGGTTCAATTCTCAGCACCAATAAAAACAAATGAATATACATGACACATATTTGAAGCTCAACAAATGATATAATAAGATAGTGCTTTGAGTAGAGTCAAAAAAAATGATGAAACTGGTCCATTGCTAAGTTTAGGTTTTTTATATCCCAGGGGACTGAGGAAATTGCACTTATTACAAAAGAATCACAGTTGACATGTTTTGAAAACAATATCAGAGACATCATCAGGTTTTTTAAACATAAAATGGTAGAATCTGAAATCTATAGACCAAGAAGCTGGACCTCAGTGCATGGTGACATTCTGGAATAGGAAATTAAGCAGATGGTTTGTGATCATTTAGTAAAGACTGTAGTGGTTGCTAGGAGCAATCGTGGGTTTGCTAAGAACAAATCTCCCCAGACACCCCATTTCTCTTTTAAATCAGATTGCATGGCATATAGAATAGAGAGAAATGTCACTTGGGCCAAATTTCAGATTGTGCCATGAATAAGTGGCAAAATATGGGCCCAATGATGCTACTCTGGAATTTTAAATTAAATGGCAATCAAAGCCAGTTGACCAATGTCAGTAATGTTGATGGGGAGTCTCTTGTAATTCTACAACTTTGTTATTTCAAAATTTAAGTAGGAATTTCAAAAGGAGTGCTGCCTGGGTACATACCAAAAAAGCAAATGGCCCAAAACTGGGAAGAGTAATAAATACAACAGATGAAAGAATCAAGATTTAGAATGCCAAGATTGTCTAAAGCACTGCATGATTCCCCAAAAAACTTAATTCAACAGAGCTTAGGGATGGAGATATTACTCAGTGGTAGAACGATTGCCTACCATGCTCAAGTTCAGCCCCCAGAGGTACACAAACTATGGCAACGTCAAAGTGAAAGGTAAAAACTTTAACTTCAAAAGACCAAGCCTGGGAAAGGAAGGAAATCTGGTTTGGTAAAAATGCAAGTGAAAATTAGTAAACTTAATTGACTCTGAGTTTATTTTCATTCATTCATTCATTCACTCATTTATTCAACAAATGTCCATTAAATATATCCTGTGTCACACCCTTCTTTGGCACTAAGGAGACAGTAGTGACTGAAATCATTAAAATTCCCTACCTACATAGAATTTACCTTCTTATGTGTGAATACTTACTCAGCTGATGAAAACAAGAACCTTATGTCACCATTTATTTGCATATGTATAATGTCTAGCTCATGTTGAGTAATAGTTTCTCTATTACTTATTGTCCACCTCTAAATTCCTAATGCCAGTGACTATGCCTGGCACACATGTGGTAGGCTCCCAGCAGATACCTGTTGAATGAAGGGGAAGAAGGGACTCAGTTGTGGTTGACATTTGTAGAACAGACCCTGCCATTACCTCAGAAATGGGTGGATATTTGTCTGGTGTTTTGTAAAGCTAACCTATAAATTTGAAACTGGTAAGTTTAGTGTGTCTCTATCATAAGGAGTCTGGAGAGGGAGTAAGTGATTAAAAGCAGATGTAAGATGCCAGAGTGCTTTCTTTTACCACATTCTAACAGCTTCATGTTAATTAAATCACTTTTCTTAAGAGACATTAAAGAGGCCATTTTAGGATTTATTTGAAATCACTCAAGTATACTTATTCAATCATTAGCCATCACAACTCAGCCCCACCATTTTCTTGAGATCTTTGCCATAATTCTTACCCACACAGGACCCAGCTTTCTCTAACCTTAAATGCATTTAATGCCCAATTGTTCATGGTTTGCTCTATTGAGACAAGCTTTTGGAAGACATCTCCCCACCACACACACACACTGAATTCTTCCAGATATGTAACAGAAACCCAGTGAGGGACAACTTGCTCCATTGCCTGACTCACTGAAACACTATTCAAGAGGGAGAGTTCATAAAATAATATCTTCTCTGCCATTTTCATTTTTGGTTTATCCCTACCATCTGTGGTTCCTCTCTGGAGTGTTCCAGTGGATACAAAAATTAATTTCCTGTCAGCACTCAATTAAGACATAACAGTTTTTCTGTTCTACAAACTCAAGTTAGGCATCATGACCTTTATTATGGTCTGCCTTTGGGCTAGGCTAATGCTTTGCACACAGTTGAGTCTTTGTATACAGTGACATGGTTATTAACAGTTAAATGACCAAATTCTTAGTTCAAACAGCCTTCTAGGTTCAACTTCCAAAGATTGACAGGACCATAGGTGCTAATTTCTAAAGCCAGGTGTGATGAGATTCAGCACATCAAAACATAAGAGTCCCAGGGACACGTATACGCCACATGAAAAACGATGCAGTATCTGGAACATAGTTATACTATTAAAAGTGTGTGCTATTTTCTAGAGTTTGGAGGTAACTATGACTGCATTATTCTCTTTAGCAGCCCTCCATGTGGTTCCATTCATCTCAATTTCCTATAAATCTAGGCCCTGACAGCCCAAACTAATGTGACTAGGTGGAAATATTTATTCTCTTGTGAAGCAAAAAGTATACACAATGCATAGTTTCTTTGATAATATTCCCTCATATATAGCCAATAATGATACTTCCAGAAATGTCTAAGGTCTTGGCAGTCCCCATTTAAGCTCTGGTTGTTTTGTTGGTAGCATGATTTACTTGATATAGTGGTATAACTCATTGCTGATACTATTTTGCTTCACTTGTACAGTGACTTTTACTGACAGATAGTAGGCGCCCTGCATGGGAGGGCTGTGAAATGTGAATTTAGTGTAATGGTTTTTAGCTCCCACAAACAACCACATTAACTAATAAGAGCTGTAGAGATAAAAGCAAAGTGTTGCCACTCTTTGCTAATTATCTTCTCTTCTTCCAATTCTAATAAAAAGAACCTTCTTGTTCATTGTACCCTTTAGCTTTCTTTTTGCAGAGGAAGCCATCTGATACTTGTGGAAACAACCCCTTTATTTTCATAAACTACATATGGAACGTTGTTTCTTGTTGTTTGGTAGTAATGACCTTTAAACATCACCCATCTATTCATTAAGCAAATATTTATTAAACAGGTCTGTTATAGACACCAGAGGGGAAACAAGTGAGTCGTGTGAATCTGCTTTCAAGGGGCTCGCAAGAGTCTGCATGTTCCATCTTGTCTTTAAATGGTTCATCAGGGATGCCAGCAAAAGGCAGTGGTAAGAGCTAATTAGCTCATTGAGGAATGAAGTGATTCTTCCCTCATATGATTAAATAAATATTGAGCTTGACATTCTGAGCAGAAACTGCTCTTTGTAAATAGCTTTAAGAGCTAGAATGAATCTGTTTCCTTCTTGGGCTGCCTTTGTTGGAGACTTTGATGCTCGGTGTGGCCCTTAGTCGGCAGCATCTACATCTTGGTGAGAGTTATAGATGCTAAGTTCCTACCCTGGATCCACTAGATCAAATTCTGCATTGTCACCAGATCCCCAGGGGACACATTTATGCACTGAAGTTTGAAAATTACTAATCTAACCCCATTGTCTCTCAGATCACTTTTTGTATACACACTGTCTGGGGGCGGGTGGAGGCTCCACCCTGGTTTTGTATTATCCAATCAGAGTCTGAGAATTTGCATTTGTGCCAAACTCCCAGAAGATTCAAGGGTTGCCTGTTGAGAACTTAGTTTGATCATTCTTGGTCATGAGATTATCCTTATAATTCACTAATACCAGGGGATATCAGGAGAAATAGGAAATAAGAAAGTTGACTATCCAGAGAGAGATGACTTGAACATGGTTTGTTTTTATAATTTGAGAAGGCGTTAGCTTTCCTAGTTAGTTCACTTGGGAAACTGAATTTGCTGGTGGGATTAATGTGAACTCCAGTGAGGCGATCAACCTGGTTTCCCTTTGCCTACACTGGATTCATGCATATTACCACAAAACTGTTCCTGAGGTATACTGGCTGCCAGGAGGGGTGGGCCTACACATGGATGGCTCTTAGTAAACTGGAATGCAGTCTCTGCATTAAGACAGCAGAAAGAAGTTGGGTGCCACCCAGGATGTTCAGCCACTTGACATGCAGCTCTGTAAGAAAATACAGAATTGAGAGGTTTGGTCCATGGCACACATGTTCAGCAACAGCATTCAATCCAGTGTTACTAGCTGTAGGCTTCTAAGGCCTTACAGATGATGAAGAGAAGGGATTGAGGGAGAAGTAAGTTGAGAAATAAGTTTGGGACATGTGCTGGAGAGTCTTCAATGTCTTATTATGGAATTTGGATTCTATCATGTCCCTTTTTCCCCTGACATGACCTTTTTTTCAAGTATAAGTGTCCTTACCATTGTGTGTGTACTTTCTTTTTCATTTTTAGGATTAAGCACGAAAACATCGTTGCCCTGGAAGACATTTACGAAAGTCCAAATCACCTGTACTTGGTCATGCAGCTGTAAGTACCTTATTTGATGAGTGCTGAGGGGTGTGAACACCAGTACCTAAACAAAAGGATGCTGTGGGCCGTGTGAGGCAATGAGAAATGACAATGTCTGTAGGGCATGGGAGAGCAAAGACCACCCCTTGCAGGGCACACAGGCATCTTCAGACCTAAGCAGGCCCATCCTGTTGAATCTCACAGTTGGGCTTCATGCTACTATTGCAGCACTGTGCCTCTATGGCTGTCTCATGTGCTAGGGCCAAGTGTTGCCTAAAGATACTGCTGTGGGCCAAATTTGAGGAACACTTTGCTCTCCTCTCTCTAGGAGAGACTCCCACCCCATCTTCATCCCCAGGGATGCCGGGGGAGGAAAGCAGATGGCAACTCTGTTCTCCATCCCTTCCCTTCTCTCTGTCTGGTGGATAGTTACATTCACTGGTAACTAAACTGAGGATTCATGAGAGACACAAAAAATGAAAGTATTACTGGAGTCAGATAGTGACATTGCCACCTCCATTAGGTTGTCCCTGTAATCCACAGACACCTAGGATTTACAAGACAGGGAGGAAGTGACAACATCAGCTAGAGATGACTTATAATGTATCTTTAAAATTTAAGGTGAAGTTATCCTTCTCAGTACTTAAGTACTTCCATTGAAGCGCATCATCGACAGTAGCATCCTGTTCTGTATTTACTAGAATCAGGTATTAGGAATCTCTCATAATGTTAGGACATCTCCATGCCCTGCATAAGATGAGTAGATGCTGTGACACCACATTATCGAATCCTGTAACTGAGAAGATTATTGTTGAAGATCAAAATGTAGACAGTGAATTTGATTGTGTATTAATGAGGCTCAGACTTCGGCTTGTCAAATATGGGTAGAAGAATTAGTGGTTAGGTTGGGCTAATAAATGGTTTTTCATGTTTTCTCTTCCTGGGGATGTTTGCATAACTTTATCTCCTGGAGATTATTTTGATACAAAGAAGTATCATCGGTTCATTTCTTTATTACCTTATTACTTTTAAAATATTTTCATGGGTGATAGCATTTTGGATATGTAAACTAGAAATGTACCAGTTGGAAGCATGTCTGATTTTCTTTGACATAGACAGTTAAGTTAGGCTAAGCAGCTGTTTTATTGCCTAGTTTAGTATGAACTGCCCAGTTATCCAGGAATATTTCTTAGTTCTCTGCTCTCTCTCTCTCTCTCTATATATATATATATGTTGCACATTTCTGTTTTTCATTCCTAACCAGTAATCTTTCCATATTTAATAACCAGAGATAGTTGTTAAAAATTCTTCTGACTTGGTTTGTATAGTGTCTCCTCTCTAGAGATATAAATGAATCATTTTCAAATATTGATTACCTAGTAGGAAGAATATAATATTTTGGGAACAAGCAAAAGCCCCATAAAATATCATATGTGTATTGAACCACATGGCTTTTTTTAAAAATTGGTAATGTAAAAAGACTAGTACTACAGCCAGAACCCCAAGGTCTTTGCATTTATTTACACCAGGTTTGTGTATATGGAAATATACCACATATCACTTTAAGTACCCCAGAGATGGGATTCTCAGCTGTGCCACTGACCAGCAAAGAGAATTGGGGCAAATGACCAGGCCTCACAGAGGACCGACTTCTGTAATGGGCAAGGGAGAAGATGGCAATGTTTACTTTAGAGATGGGGAATGTGTGGGTAATGCTCATGAAGAACACATCCTCTGTGTGTGCAGGTTTCTTTGTGGACATCTGTATCATTTCATCAGGATTATCTGCAGATGCTCTTAGGATTTAATGAGATGGAGCCCAAATAGACCTCAGGTTTGCTTCTCCAATCCTCTTGGTCATGTGCTCACCAGCAGAAGTGTATGTAAAGAGAAGCTGACCCAGGAACAGCCCTAGAGCCAATCTTAGACCAAAGTCTTGAGAGCCTGTGGTTGGCACAGACATCCCAGTCCCACTCTGTGCTTCTCAGTTGAGAAACATCTTCTCTTGGTGGCTTCTAGAGAGAGCATCATTACTGTGGACCACAATTACAAAAACTTTTTAGTATCTCAGGGAGGAATTAGGCAGGAACCAGCTAACTTTTTGCAGGAGTGTTGGGCCAATTTGTTATGTAAATCTAGTGCAAAACCCTGATCTAAACATGATGGATGTTTGATTTACCCAAAGAACAAGGCTATGTAACTGCACTGTTAGGTAGTTTAGAAGCACCAGATATGCCAAGTGCATGCCAACATGTACCATTCATGTTCCTTTGGTTTTCTACACTCTTTTACTATATATCATTTACTTTTTCTTTACTCTTTTACCATGTATCATTTACTTTTTTTATACTATATATCATTTACTATATATCATTTAATTGAACTGATTGTCTCAGGGCTGAGCATAACACCATTTCTGATCCTCCTTGTATCCTTTTCAACTCCTTCTTCAGTTACCCATGGTCTAGCCAATGATTGAACTTTCGTGAGAGCTTTTTTTTAATTAATTGTATTCTAAAATATAGAAATGGAGTAGTATAATATATACTCGTTTATGCCTGGCTTCATTCACTCATAGGGATAGCCTATTCAGTGTCTTTGCTGAAAACAAACAAACAAACAAAAAAAAACTTTAATTTTCTTAGTTGCTTTGGTAGCTTTGTCAAAAATCAACTGCCTGGACCAGCAAGATGGCTCAGCAGATAAAAAGCTGGTTGCCAAGCCTGACAACCCGAGTTGAGAACCAACCTGGCAAGTTGTTTTCTCAGCTCTACAAGTATGCTGTGGTACATTGTGGTACATGCAAAACACACACACACACACACACACACACACACACACACACACACACACACACTCGCGCCATGAATGTTTTAGTTAAAATATTACTTAATCATATTTTTGTACTCATTATTCTGTTCCATGTATCTGTCCTTGCTTCAATATTATACATTATCACAGCTCTAAAGTACATCTTAGAACTGGGTATACTTTACTTTTACACTACATTATAATGCCTTTTATCATTTATTATTTTATGAAATAACTTTGGCATTCTTAAAATAGATTATTCATATACATTTTTAAATCAAATTTTGAGACTTGTTTGTAGAAGCCATGTTTGTAACTGTATGGAAATTAAATACAAATTTGAGAATAACAGATAACTTAAATTTGAGCTTTAATTTGTAAACACAACTTGTTTCTCTATTTAGATCTTTTATTAAACTTAGTCTATATTTTATAGTTTTGATCATCATGTGGGCCTTTAATAACTTTGCTTAGTTTAATCTGAAATATTTTATTTTATTGATCCTGTTGTGACTGGATATTTCATGTTTATAGCTGCTTTCTAGTAGATAAAAATACAATATATAATTCAAGTAATTGTTTTATTTCTTGTTTTGTTTTTGCATTTCTGTACTAATTCTTGTTAATTCCCAAAATAATTCTATGTAGCAAAACTTGAATAATTTAGTTTTACTTACCAACTATATTAAGGTAATATATATCTTTGAACTAGTTCTTGCCATATGTTTTGGGAATTCATATAGGACAGATCTGATCTTTCTTCTATTCCCTGATCTAAATGAAATGTTTTTAAAAGTAATGACAAAAAAGAAAGAAGAAAAAGCAATGACAGAAACCCCTTGGGATATCAGAATATGGTATTATTGGAAAGACCTTGACTTGCTTTGGGAATTTTGTAGGCTGGACGATTATTTTTGTCATTGTATTTATTGGGTTTTACTTGTCAAGGCCTGATAGTACTTTACTCCCGAAGTTTGTTGTATATAAGTTTTGGGGTCTGGATCAGTGGAAAGTGCTTTTGTTCTTTGGGATTTTGTTTGGTTGTTTACGTTTGCTTTCATTTTTGACTCACTTGAAAAATCCTTGATTCCTAAATATGTAGGATTTAGAATACAACATTTGATGTACTGGATTTCATAATATTTGTGCCTGGGAGGGTTTTAGTTTCCTAGAAAACATCACCCTCAGCACCAAGTCTCCTTAGCACCCTAATGCTATTGCTTTTCTAATGGCTGTCTCGATTCTGTGGGCGGGGTGTATTTGTCCCATGCTGCTATAGGAAAATTGGTTGTTTAGGGTATGTTTATGAACATTTTTTTGTATTTTGAACAAATACATTTTTTTCAGAATGTTATTTGGGAGACACTCTTCTGTAGATAGTAAGAGACTGAGATCATACAGGTATAATTTATAGATGAGAAATCAGTTTATTTCTTATCTACCTGTGTTTGTAGACTATCAATCCTGTATTTGGAAAGGCCACCCACTCATCTTTTCCCCTTCACATTTACAGTGGGTTGAATAAGCTGCAAGCAGATACAATAAAATATACATTTAAAGGGCTGCAGAGATAGTTCTGTGGGTAAAGTGCATACCATACCTGCATGAGGACCTGTGTTCATATTCCCCAAACCCATATAAGGCTAGATAAAGCAACAAACATCTATAATCCCAATGTTCCTACTGCAAAATGAGAGATGAAGAATTCTTGTAGCTCAGATGGCCTGGCATACACCTGCCTGGAAATGGAAGACAAGACCCAACACCAGAGATTTTCCTCTGCCCTTGACACATGCATCATGGCATGCATGCACGCGCACTCACACACACTCGTACGCACATATACATACTTGCATACGTAGGCATACACCTAAACAAACAAAATAATATATTGGAAGTACTTTTATAGAAAAAGAAATAGATTATATTGGTGTTGTGCTTTGCCACCTTTCCAATAAGGTTTTAGGTTTCATATATGGGTAACTCCTAATCTCTCTCTTCAGCCTAGAACTACTCAGCAGTTTCACTCTGCTGCATAAGAAGTACCATTCAAAATTTCTGTAAAATATGTTTATCCTGGTGTCTGACTCATCTTAGCAAATGGAAGCCCCTCTTCTTCCAATTTCTTGGACTCAGAATCTGGAGTCATTCTGCATTCGTCTTTCTCATCCCACAAACTCACCCACCCAAGTCACCAACAACATAGT